AAGCAGGCCTGAGGTGGAGCAGGCGGCTCGTCAGCAACGTGATGATCTCGTACTTCGATGGGAACAAGGCTGGAAGCGACGAAGTCCTCAAGCTGCTCTGCAGCATCTTACGGTCTTCCCCCTCTTCCCCTCCCACCTCCTTCGTTCCCTCCTCCCTCTCGCTACCTCCTCCTCCCTCCCTACTCTCGATTTTTTGTGGGTCGAGGCGTCGGTGAGCTGATCGGATGCAGGTATGGACAAGGAGAAGATGCACAAAATGGAGCACGGGGCCAAGCGACTGAAGCAGGTCAGGGTAGGAGGAAGAGACGGGAGGGGAAGAAGGGACGAGAACGGGGAGGGAGAGGAGGCGACGGGGAGGAGAGGAAGTGGGGGAGGAGGCAGGAGGGAAGGAGGAGGAGGGAAGGATGAGGGAGGAGGAAGACAGCAAGCGTATCTGATCTTGTTGCAGCCGAGCAAGTGGGGGCTGTACGGGCTGCTGAGTGCTCCGGTGACCACATGGGAGACCATCACGGAGGCAGAGATTGGGCACGAGTGGGTCCAGTTTCTGATCGACGAGGCGGAGGAAGCGAGCAAGGGCACAAGGTAGCGGTGGATGTGAAACAGATGTTGTAAGTAAGCCAATGTACATGAATCAACACTCTCAAGATATTCTGCTCCTGCTCCTGCTCCTGCTCCTGCTCCTCCTGTTGTTGCTACTCCTGCCCTTCCTCCTCCTCTCACACCTTCTTTCCCCCCGTATCGCGCAGCCTTCTCCACTCATTGACCGGCGTCTTCTCGCTCCACTTGAGCTTCCATCGCACGGCCTTGAACTTGCTCTCTACATGCTTCTCCTCCTTGGGCAGTCGCGCAAGCATCATCTCCCTCTGACTCGCCTCGCTGCGCTGCCATGTTGTCTTCGGCTGGTGGACATGTCAGCAGGGACGAAGAGCATTCAGCTGTCCTGACCTTGGTGATGTCTTCCTCCCAGATCTTCTGTGCTGACTTCTGCTCGAGCTGCTTGATCTGCCTCTCCAGGTTCTGCCTGCCAACTCGCTTCAGCGGCAGTGGATGCCGAGGATGTCGGTACCGAATCTCTGTGTCTCGCACGACCGGGTAGTCGTTTCTTCGGCTCCTGAGCTGCTGGATGTCGACCTTGCGCTGTAGGATAGTCAACAGAAGAGCGGAGGAGCAGCGGAACACAGGGAGCAGAGCAGGAGGAGGAGGAGGAGGAGGAGGAGGAGGGAGGAGGAGGGAGGAGGAGGGAGGAGGAGGGAGGAGGAGGGAGGAAACGAAAGAAGACCTGGAGTGCTTGAGCTTCGGATTCCTCCTTCTTCTCCTCCTTCTCTGCCACCCTGCAGCAGGATCCAAAACTAGTTTGATTCCGCAGGAACTCAGCGTCGAGCACAATCCTGTCCTGCTCGATCATGCCCCAACGAGACATTTTCTGGGCTGGCACTCGAGAAATCTCGTACAGCAGGCTGTCAAGACCAGAATCTTCGTGCGACTGATCCCCTCCTTTCCACGACCTTTCTGCATGACCGATCTTGTTCCTCTCAACTTCATCGAGACCGTCAAGGTCGATGGAGCTAGCAACACGCCTGTCGGCGTACTGGATGGCTTCCCTGCACGACGAGACAGCATTCCACACCAGCGAGCGATCCTTTCTCAGCTCATGGCTTGCGAACCGAAGGGCATTCCCATCTACCGACACAGCCTTGAGCACAAGGCTCCTGTTATCTCTCAGCCTTGCACTCGCGTACTGAAGGACCCCGGGGAGCAAGTCGATGGCGTTGGCAACCATGCTGTAGTTGTCTCGCAGACCCGAGCTCGCATACTTGAGAGACTTGGCATCGTTTGAGATGGCAGCGTTGACGATGATTGGGTTGTCTCGGATACGATCACTAGCGTACTTGAGAAACCATCCTGACTTGCTCACTGCCTGCCGCATGAAGTCGTCGTCGTCGCGCAATGCTGAATCACTGAATCTGAAAGCATCCTCTTCCCTCTCCATCGCATTCAGGATCGCGCGTCTCCTCTGCTCCAACGCCAAGTCCTGCAGGTTCAAGTCAAATGCTCCAACATCGATATGTCTTACCTTGTATGGATTCGACTCGCCAGTGTCTGACCATCTGCTCCTACTGCTTTCATCACTTCTCGTCCGCTCGAACGAGCGTTCCTCCTCGTGCTTCCCTCCCCGTCCTCGCTCGGGCGACATGGAGATAGAGCCTCGCCTGTTGCTGGTCCGATGCTTCGAGGACGAGGAGAGTCGAGGAGGAGAGTTCCTGCCTGCTACCAGCTCATGGCCATGAGACTCTTTATTGCTCCGATGCTTTGAATGACGGGACGGGGAGTAGGAGATGGACCGTCTTCGCTCCCTACCGCCCTTGCTTGCGCTGCTTCTTGTTCTCTGGAACATGCCAGAGTCCTCGTGGCTGCTCCTCGTCCGCTCGAACGAGCGTTCCTCCTCGTGCCTCCCTCCCCGTCCTCGCTCGGGCGACATGGAGATAGAGCCTCGCCTGTTGCTGGTCCGATGCTTCGAGGACGAGGAGAGTCGAGGAGGAGAGTTCCTCTTCGCCAGCATTGTACTTGAGCGCTATCTGTGAAAACGGCCTGATTACTGATGGACAACATGATTTTGCTCGGCTATTCCTGACTTACTGCCAAATACAGTCTTGCTTGAGAACCAACAACCTTTCCTAGCGTTGAGCTCGTTTCCCTCCTTCCCTCCTCCCTCCTCCCTCCCCCCCCTCCTTCCATCCCCCGTCCCCCGTCCTCCCCTCCTCCCCTCCTCCCTCCTCCCCCTCCTTCCATCCCCCGTCCTCCGTCCTCCCCTCCTCCCTCCTCCGTCCTCCTCCATGCCAGGCTGTCCATGTTTGCTCCTTCCCTGCCTGTTCCCCCTCATCTTTGACAAGTTTGCTCCTTCACCTTCTGACCTACTACCCTACCCTTCAGTCAAAATACCCTACCCCTTCCTGGCACACCCCTTTATAAATATACAGAAGCACCCCTTCTGTCTTTGAATGACCCTTTTGAAACTACCCCCTACCCCAACACCTGCTCTATGACACCCAACCCCTAGCCTTTGAGGAATAAAGGTACCCCACCCCCTTTTGACTCTCAGACCCCCACCTCCCTATTTTCCGTGACCATCTTGTCAACCCCCCCACCACCCCCCACCACCCCCCACCACCCCCAACAC